TGTTGCTCATTTCTTTTGCCGTGCAGAAACATTGCTTGTTCCATTGTTTTTGCTTTTGTTGCTTGTACTTTTGATGTCACATCCAAAATCATTGCCAACATCAATGTCAGGGAGATTTCCCCCTGTTTTCTTGTAGGAGTTTTATGGTTTAAGGTTATATATTTAAGTCTTTAACCCAGTTTTGGTTAATTTTTGTGAGTGGTGTAAGTTAGTGGTCCGGTTTCATTCTCTGCATGTGAATATCCAGTTTTCTCAGGATCACTTATTGAAGAGATTATCTTTTTTTCCTTGAGTGTGCTCAGCTCCCTCATCAAATTTTAGTTGACTAGATCCATGGGTTTATTGTCCGGTTCTTGATTCTGTTTCTTTGGGTTTTGTGTTTTTTGTTTTTTGTTTTTTTTTTATGAATGGTCATCCTATTTTGATTACTATACCTTTGTAACAGTTTGAAAACAGGAAGTGTGATGCTTCCAGCTTTGTTCTTTCCCAGGATTGATTTGCTCATTTAGGGTGTTTTTTGTTCCATGTAAATTTAAGGATTCTTTTTCCTATTTCTCTGAAAAATGTCACTGGAATTTTGATAGGGATTGCGTTAAATCTACAGATGGCTTTGAGTCATGAGATATTTAGTGTTGATTTTTCTAATCCGTAAATATTGAGATATCTTCCTATTTGTGTGTCTGATGTTTCTTTTATCAAAGTCTCATAGTTTTTAGTGTACATATCTTTCACCTCGTTGGTTAAATTTATTCCTAAGTATTTTGTTCTTTTTGATGCTTTTGTGAATGGCATTTTTAAATTTCTTTTTCAGATTTTTTTGGTTAATGTATAGAAATGTAACGGATTTGTATATGTGGATTTTTTGTATGTTTCATCTTTGCTAGTTCTAACAGCTTTTTGGTGGTGTCTTCAGGATTTTCTATATGTAAGATCATATCCTCTGCAGACAAAGACAGTTTGATTTCTTCTTTTCTGATCTGGATGCCTTTCATTTCTTTATCTAGTCTGATGTTGAATATGAGTGGTAAAGTGGGCACCTTTGTCTTATTCTTGAACTTAGAGGAAAAACTTTCAGTGTTTTGCCACTGAGTATGATGTTAGCTGTGGGTTTTTCATATGTGGCCTTAATTATGTTCAGGTATGATACTTTGGTATCCACTTTACTGAGAGTGTTTATCATGAAAAGATGTTGAATTTTGTCAAATGTTTTTTCTGCATATATTGAGATGTTCATATAATTTTTTTTCATTCTGTTAATGTGTATCAAACTTACTGATTTGATTTGATTTCTGTAGGATAACTTTGCTTAGTAAAGTGTTCTTGGTTGGCAGTTCTTTTCTCTCAGCATTTTTTTTAAAGATTTGATTTATTTATTTGACAAAGAGAAAGAGATCACAAGTAGGCAGAACAGCAGGCCTAGAGAGAGGGGGAAGGAGGGCTCCCCACTGAGCAGAGAGCCTGATGTGGGGCTCAATCCCAGGACCCTGAGATCATGACCTGAGTTGAAGGCATAGGCCCAGCCCACTGAGCCACCCAGACATCCCTCTCTCAGCATTTTGAATATACAATCCCATTCTTCTCCTGGCATGTAAGGTTTCTGCTAAGAAATTGCTAATAGCCTTATGAGGGTTCACTTGTAGGTGACAAGCTTCTTTTCTCTTGCTGCTTTTATGATTCTCTCTTTGATTTTTATTTTCAACAGTTTTATTATAATGTGTTTTGGAGAAAATCTCTTTAAGTTGAATTTGTTTGATGACTGAGCTTCATAAACTTGGATTCCAAATGTTTCTCCAAGTTTGAGAGTTCTCACCCATGACTTCTTTAAGCCTTATGTCTTTTTCTCCCTCTCTCCTCCTTCCAGAACTGCAGTAATTTACACGTTGTTTCTTTTAGTGGTATTCCGTAATCCCATAGGGTTTTCTCACTCTTTTTCTTTCTTTTTTCTTTGTTCTCCACTGATTGGATAATTTTAAAGTTTTAAAATTTAAAAACTTTAAATTCACAGTAGTTTTTTTGGGTGCATTTTCATCTCAATGATTTCTTTTCTTTTCTCTCTCTTTTTTAAAAGATTTTATTTTTATTTGTTTGACACAGAGAGAAGGATCACAAGTAGGCAGAGAGGCAGGCAGAGAGAGAGGAGGAAGCAGGGAGCCTGATGCCGGGCTGGATCCAAGGACCCTGAAATCATGATGGGAGCTGAAGGCAGACGCTTAACCAACTGAGCCACCGAGGTGCCCCCTGTCAGTGATTTCTATTGCTTTTTTTCATTTCATTCACTGTATTATTCAGTTCCAGAATTTTTTAGTTCTTTTTTTAACTATTTCCAGCTCTTTTTAAAAATACATATTTTATTTATTCATTTGAGAGAGAAAGCGAAAGAGATCAGGTTGGGGGAGAGACAAAGAGAGGGAGAGAGAATGTCAAGCAGACCTGGGGCTCGATCCCACAACCCTGAGGTCATGACCTGAGCTAAAACCAAGAGTCAGACACTTAACTGACTGAGCCACCCAGGTGCCCTTCCAAATCTTTATTAAACTTCTCATTTTGTTCATCTAGTATTTTTCTCATTTTATTGAACTGGCTTTTTTTTTTTTTTGAAAGATTTTATTTGTTTGTTTATTTATTTATTTTAGAGAGAGCATGTATGTGAGCCGGACGAGTAGCAGAGGGAGAGGGACATGCAGACTCTGCACCGAGCATAAGCCCGATGCAGGGGTGGATCTCATGACCTTGCGATCATGACCTGAAACAAAATCAAAGGTCAGGCGCTTAACAGACTGAGCCACCCAGGCATCCCTGAATTGGCTTTTTGTGTTTTCTTGTAGCTCACTGAGTTTCCTTAAAACTGCTATTTTGAACTCCTTTTTTGGATAAACTATTGATCTTCATGTGTTTGAGATCAATTACTGGAAGATTATTGTGATCATTTCATGGTATCATATTTCCTTGACTTTTTATATTCTTTGAAGTTTTGCATTGCTGTCTTTGCATTTGAAGTAGTCTTTAATGACTACCTTTTCGGTGTGTCCAAACCCGATTTTTTTTGGTTTTTGGTTTTTGGTTTTTTTTTGCTCTGGTGGTGTGCTGGAACTTTACTGTAGGAAATCTGGTTTTCCAAAAAGGCTCTCTCTTCAATGGGTGATTATCTAAGACAGTGTTTTCCAGGGGCTCCTAGATGTGGTTGAGAGGAAGGGGCTGGAGCCAGTGTATGGACTATTGCTGAGTCCATAGCTGGGACTGTGGTGAGTGTGCCTGTTATCTGATGCATGCGTAGACAAGAGTTTTCCTAGGTCCCTTGTTTATGGTGCTTGGTTCCACAGCTCCTACAAAGAGGTCCACAGCCATTTTGTCACCACAAAGACATTGTATTGTAATTGTATATTTATCTGACTTTGAAGCAAGGGATGTGTGTTTTCTTATATATGGTTGGACTTGATAACTGTTCTGTGAACTAATAAGTGAATTGAGATGGGTAGCAGAATTTTACAAAAAAATTTTTTTTATTCTTTACCAGTAAAATTATTAGAAAACATTGGCTTTTTAAAAAATTTTTTAAATTTTTAAAAATATTTTTTAAAATTTAATTTTTTCCCAGTGCTCCAAGATTCATTGTTTATGGACCACACCCAGTGCTCCAAGCAATACATGCTCTCCTTAATATCCACCACCAGGCTCAACCAACACCCCACCCCCACCCCTCCAAAATCTTCAGTTTGTTTCTCAGAATCCACTGCTCTCATGGTTTGTCCCCGCTCCGATTTCCTCCAACTCATTTTTCCTCTCCATCTCCCAATGTCCTCCATGTTATTCCTTATGCTCCACAAGTAAGTGAAACCATATGATAATTGACCCTCTCTGCTTGACTTATTTCACTCAGCATAATCTCCTCCAGTCCTGTCCATGGTGATACAAACGTTGGGTATTCACCCTTTTTGATGGAGGTGTAATATTCCATTTGTCTGTTGAAGGGCATCTTGGCTCTTTCCACAGTTTGGCGATTGTGGCCATTGCTGCTATGAACATTGGAGTACAGATGGCCCTTCTTTTCACTACATCTGTATTTTTGGGGTAAATACCCAGTAGTGCAATTGTAGGGTCATAGGGAAGCTCTATTTTTAATTTCTTAAGGAATCTCCACACTGTTCTCCAAATTGCCTGCACCAACTTGCATTCCCACCAACAGTGTAACAGGGTTCCTCTTTCTCCATATCTTCTCCAACACTTATTGTTTACTGTCTTGTTGATTTTGGCCCTTTTAACTGGTATAAGGTGGTATCTCAATGTGGTTTTGGCTTGAATCTCCCTGATGGCTAGTGATGATGAACATTTTTCATGTGTCTGTTAGCCATTTGTATGTCTTCTTTGGAGAAGTGTCTGTTCATGTCTTCTGCCCATTTTTTGATGTGATTATCTGTTTTGTGTGTTAAGTTTGAGGAGTTCTTTATAGATCTTGGAAATCAGCCCTTTATCTGTAGTGTCATTTGTGAATATCTTCTCCCAATCCGTGGGTTGGCTCTTTGTTTTGCTGACTGTTTCCTTTTATGTGCGGAAGTTTTGATCTTGATGAAGTCTCATTTTTGGTGAAATGATGAAGTTCATTTTTGCTTTTGTTTCCTTTGCCTTTGGAGACCTGTCTTGAAAGAAGTTGCTGTGGCCGATGTCGAAGAGGTTACTGCCTATGTTCTCCTCTAGGATTTTGATAGATTCCTGCCTCACATTCAGGTCTTTTATCCATTTTGAGTTTATCTTTGTGTATGGTACAAGAGAATGGTTGAGTATTTATTTGAGAGAGAGAGAGAGAGAAAGAGAGAGCAGGAGAGGGGGAAAGGTCAGAGGGAGAAGCAGACTCCCCGTGGAGCTGGGAGATTGCTTTGGGACTTGATCCTGGGACTCCGGGATCATGACCTGAGCCAAAGGCAGTGACTTAACCAACTGAGCCACCCAGGCACCCGAAAACATTGGCTTTTTAATGGATATTTTAACTGGATTTTTAAAAATAGTGATCCTGCTTTGGATACAAAGGAATTAAGGAAAGGGGAAAAAGAAAAACAAACATCAAAAGAATCTGTGATTACACCAAGGTTTGAGAAAGCCCCTTCTCTAACTTCTCGTCCACTACGAATGAATGATGACAGCACTTCAAGTGGAATGGATCAGGATGAAGGAAGGTAAAATCTACAAATTCTTTATTTCCCTCTGAAGGAATTTTAACAGTGATTACTTTTTATGGAAATAAAATGCTGTAGTGTAGGTACAGGCGAAGACAAGAAATACTCAAGTATATCAGACACACTGCTTGAAAGGTTAAGATGAGGACAAGTGACTTTGACAGGGAGCAGTTTCAACAGTCACCGTGGATGCTGGACTGTAATGAATAAGTATAAAGAACTCCTTAGAGAATTTTTTTTAAGGTTTTATTTATTTATTTGACAGATGGAGATCACAAGTAGGCAGAGAAGCAGGCAGAGAGAGAGGAGGGGAAGCAGGCTCCCTGCTGAGCAGAGAGCCCAATGCGGGGCTCGATCCCAGGACCCTGGGATCATGACCTGAGCTGAAAGCAGAGGCTGTAACCCACTGAGCCACCCAGGTGCCCCCATTCCTTGATAATTTTAGATATTCAGTGCCTTTGACAGTATCATGAATAGCTATGGTTTTATTAGGGACTTTGAAGTGTCTGCTTATATTAACTTAATATTTGTTTAGATTCTGGGGGAAGGGGAAAGATTTTATTTATAATTGAAAAATAAACTATTAATCTTTCATAGATTATTACTTTTGTTTTATAAAGTTCTAAATTACAAAAGCCATGATTCCTGTGCCAACAGTGTTGTTGACACATATATAGTGTGCTCACTAAGTGTATGTTCGTGAATAAACAGTTGAATGAATATATGAATGCCCATTGATCAACTTCTTTAGAAGAAGCAAATCTTTAGTTGTTTGAAAGTAGATTATCAATATTGTCTATGTATGAAGTCTTTTTATTTAAAAAAATATGGTTAACATTCTTGAATTATTATTTACAATTATAGCTAAAATGGAATACTAATAGATTCATTTGCTATCAAATACTTAAAAAACACTTAAATATTACTTTCATCACATACTGTAAAACACGTGTTTTGAAGGCACATTTCCTGAATTTGAATTCTGGGTCTACTCCTGACCACCTGCACCAGCTTTGAGAAGTTACTTTTTTCTGTGCCTCATTTTCTTCCTGTGTAAAATACCTAATATAATTATCTACGTATATAAGATTGTTGTGAGGCTTAAAATACCTTTAAAACATTTAAAGTTTTCATAATAATGCATACTATTTACACAGTAGATCCTCAGAACACTAATATCATGATTATTAAAAAAGGATTTCTTTCATATAAGAACTTAACTTGCACTTTCCAAATAGTTTTTAGAGCCAGTAAAAGCTTGTTTTTATTGAAAATGACAACAAAAAATGTGGTATATTTCTTCATATCAAATAATGCAAGTAACATGATTTTCCTTTGCTTTTTGTCAGTTTGATCTAAATTTAATGCTTTGTTAAGATTATTAATAATATAGATATGATTTAGATATTCTTTGTATTTTAAGTATTTAATATTTGCCTGAAAAGAATTGTTTTTTTTTTTAGACCTGCAAAGAAAACATCTAGTGAAGAGGAAGAGGTAAAATATATATATATATATATATATATATATATGTATACATATATATATATATACACACACACACACACAAATTTTATTTCATTTATTAATTTTTAAATTTTTATTTTATTATGGTTTTTTAAGCATCAGCAGGTAATTATTTTATTTATTTATTTATTTTTATTTTATTTATTTATTTTTTTTAAGATTTTATTTATTTATTTGACAGATCACAAGTAGGCAGAGAGGCAGGCAGAAGGAGAGGCAGGCGGAAGCAGGCTTCCCGCTGAGCAGAGAGCCTGATGTGGGGCTTGATCCCAGGACCCTGAGATCATGACCTGAGCCGAAGGCAGAGGCTTTAAACCACTGAGCCACCCAGGCGCCCCATTTTTATTTCTTTTCAGCGTAACAGTATTCATTGTTTTTGCACCACAAATCATGTTTATCAGAAATATTATTCCATGGTAAAAAATTACTTTAGGAAAGGTATAGTGAAAAAAGAGAACATCTGCCTTTGTTGTACAGACATTTACTTTGAAAAAGTTGTTCAGAAACACTAGTTATTGATAAAGGTCATTTTGATAAAAATCAGTCCTTTTGAAAGTACCTTTTTTTTGCTCTTATAAAATACAGGTATTTATCATCTCTCTACACTTAGTATATTTTATCAATATTTAGGGGACATTTTGAAGTAGTATTATTTATTTGTAGGTCAAAAAGCAAATTCCTTGTATGGATGACCTTGATGACTTAACTCCGTCATCTGAAACAATTTCGGAGGGTTTCCACATGCCTTGCTCTAATTATATGACTTGCATGTCGCTAATTGAACAACATGGCATGGATTGTAAAGGTAAGACCATTGTGTAAATATGAAGCCTTTGTATGTACATTACTATAGTAATATGTGCACTTCTTGTCTAGTGCTGTGCCATACAACACTGATGTGTTATAGAGCTACTCATCTCAGAAATACATTTTATATGAAGATAGAGAAATGTTGAATACTCTTAGCCAAAGAGCTGTAATTTCCACTATACTTTTCATCATGGGAATGGCACACCTGATGTGTGTTAACTCTCCTCTTCTGTGCCTTCACCCAAGGTCAGGTTACCACTATATTTGTCCTAGAATACTGAAACAACCTCAGGACTGTTTTCCCTGTCATTCCACCTCCCAGAATCTTGGTCTACAGTGCCACCATAGTTACCATATATTTTTAAACATTTATATTTCATCACGTGACCCCCTTGCTTAAAGCTTAGCTATTACTTCTCATCGTTCTGGGCTGAAAGACCACAGTTCTCAGCCTCATCTTGGGCTGTTTCATATCCTTTCCGTGTCTCAGCTGTTTTAGATATTTTTCCTTACAATAGAGCTCTTTTCCCCTCAACAGCTTAAGTTAGGACAACTGCACATGTATGAAGTGTATAATTTGATAGTTTTGACATATATATATGCATATGAAACCGTAACTGTAATTCAGGCAGGTAATAACCCTTAAGTCTCGTGTCTCTTTGTATTCCCTCATTATGAAACTGCCGAATGGTTTTCTAAAGTAGTTGCACCATTTTCAATTGCCACCAGCAATGTCTGAGAGTTCTGATTTCTCCCTATATATTCATGAACACTTAGTATTGTCAGTTTTTTAAATCTTAGATGTTCCGATGGGTCTGTAGTATATGTATCATTATGGTTTTAATATACATTTTGCTAATAACTTATATGTTGAGCATATCTTCGTGGGCTTATTTGCCATCTGTATATCTTCTTTGAACTGTCCAAATCCTTTGTCATTTTAAAAATTAGGTTTTCTTACCTGTTGAGTTTTGAGAATTCTTTGTATATTCTAGATATAGTTCCTTTATCACCTGTTTTTTTTTTTTGCAAAGATTTTCTCCCTGTCTGTGACTTTTCATTCTCTCAACAGTATCTTTTGAAGAGCCGTTTTTCTTTTTGATGAAGTCCAGTTTATACCTTTGTTCTTTTATGGATTTTTGTTTTTGGTGTTCCTATCTGAGAAATCTTTGCCTAGCACAAGGTCAGAGGTTTTCTCTCCTGCTTTCTTTTAGAAGTTTTGCAGTTGAATAACAAGGTTTTATAGTTTTAGGTCTTACATTTAGATCTGTGATCCGTGAGATCCAGTTTGTATTCGTTTTTTTTTTTTTTAAGATTTATTTAATTTATTTATTTGACAGAGAGAGAGAGCATGAGAAGGGGGAATGGCAGGCTGAGGGAGAGGGAGAACCAGGCTCCCTGCTGAGCAGAGAGCTGGACACAGGGCTCGATCCCAGGACCCATGGATCATGACCTGAGCCGAAGGCAGCCACTTAACTGACTGAGCCATGCAAGCGCCCCCATTTTGAATTCTTTTTAAATTTATGATACAGGGTATGGGTCCAGGTTTATTCTTGAAGTTGGTAAGTTTACTTATTAGTTTTAGTAGCTTTTTAAAACATTCTGTCAAATTTTTCTATATAACCAAAGTTTATCAAACTTTTTTTTAACTACTATTTTACTGATTTCTTAAGGTGGAGCCAAAGGTCATCAGTTTGAGGCTTTTCTTTTTTAGTACATACATTCAGTGCTTTAAGTGTTCATGTGAGTGCTGCTACTGCAGGATTCCAGCAATTCTTATGTGTTATATGTTCATTTCCATTCAGTTCAGAATATTTTCTAATTTCTTTGTCTTTACTTCTTTGACCCAGGGGTTATTTAAAGATTTTATTTATTTGAGAGAGAGAGGGAGAGAGCACGAGCATGAGCTGGGGTGAAGCAGACTCCCCTCAAGCAGGGAACCCAGTGTGGGGCTTGATCCCAGGACCCTGAGATCATGACCTGAGCCGAAGGCAGACACATAACCGACTGAGCCACCCAGGCTCCCTGACCCAGGGTTTATTTAGATGTGTGTTAACTAGTTTGCAAATATTTGAGTATTCACCAGAGATATTTTTATTCTTGATTTCTAATTTGATTTCTTTGTGGTCACAAAACACACTCTTACGACTTCAGTTCTTTTGACTTACTCCTTTTATTATCATTTATTTTATGACCCAGAATATCGTCTCTCTCGGTAAGTGTTCCATGGATGCTTGAGAAGAACGGTGGTGTTCAAGTCTACTATGTACTTGCTGATTTTCTGCCTACTGAAATCTCAGACTATAATTGTGAATTTGCTTGTTCCTCTGAAGTTCTGTCAATTTTTACTTTATGTATTTTGAACCTATTAATACATGCATAAACATTTAGGTTTATTATGCTTCCTTTGGTTGACCTTTTTATCATTATTAAATGAACTTATTTATTGCTGCTAATGTTTTTTGCTTTGAAATCTATTTTGTCTGGTATTAATGTAACCACTCAGGCTCAGCTTTCTTTTGCCAAGTGTTAGTGAGGTCTATCATATTTCTGACCTCTTAACACATTTGTAGTTTTTACAGTTAACGTGCATTTTTTATAGGTGGCAGATAGCTGGGTCTTTCTTTTTTATCCATTTTGACAGTCTGCCTTTTCATTGAGGCTTTTAGAACATTTTCATTTAATGTGATTATTGATGTAGTTGATTTGAATCTGTCATGTTGTTTGACTTCAATTTGTCCTTTCCGATCTTCATTCCATTCTCTTCTTTTTCTGATTTCTTTTAGATTAATCAAGTAATTTTTATGATTTAGTTTTATTTATGTGTGTATATGTATGTATGTATTTTGCTTACTAGCTATAACTCTTTAGTTTTGCTATTTTGGTGATTAGAGCCTAAAGTATATGACTTAAGCATCATAGTCCTCCATCTAGTAATGTTATAACACATCATATGTCGTTTAAGAAAATTAGAAAGGTTTACTTCCTTTTCTTCACTCCTAGCCAGATCCTTCTGGATCTGTGGGTTTATAGTTTTCATTAAGTTTAGAAAGGTTTTGGCCATTTTTTCATTTCTTTTTTTAAAGATTTTATTCATTTATTTGAGAGAGAGAAGGAGGGAGAGAGAGAGTGCACGAGCCGGGGGGGAGGGGCAGAAGGAGAGGGAGAAACAGACTCCCCTCTAATGGGGGAGTCCAATACCGGTCTTGATCCTAGGACCCTGAGATCATGAAATCATGACCTGAGCTGAAGGCAGACGCCGATTGACAAATCCACTCAGGTGCCCCCGTCATGTTTTCTTCGAATATTTTTTTCTAGTTCCTTTCCTCTACCTCTTTGGGAAATTGTATATTAGCTTCTCACAGTTTTCAGATGTCAAGTTTCAGTCTTTTATTTTGAGCTGTCTAATATGTGTTTATTCCAATCCAGTGTGTTTTTCATGTCTGACATAATTTACATCTGTGTAAGTGCTATTTGGTTTTTTAAAAATTAGCTTCTATGCCTCCACTTACCTTTTTATGCTTTCTTTGGAATTCTAGCTAAGTTAATGACAAACAGTTTGATCCTTTCCCGTCCTGCTCTTATGAATTGTTAGGTGAATCCAGAGTAGTGTTCAGCCTAGAGCTCATAATTCCCCACTGCTGAGCACAACCTACTTACTCTATTCATTGTGCTGCGGGTTATGAGTGTTTCCAGCATGGCTAATGGGGATAGATACTGCCCCTGGTGCCATGTGAGCTCCAGACAGGGTGTCCTCTGCTCTTTCCAGACGGATCTTTCCCCTGGTCACAGGAGATTTCCTTACGGGCGTGCATTGGTTATTACTCTTCTGATCTCCGGGGTTCGTTCTTTGTTCTGCTTTCTCCTCGCCAGTGCTTTGACCTCTGATCTCATCTGTCTTGGTTTCACCAGACTCCGTTTCATCACCTCAACTCAGGGAGTCTGGTGGAGTCTGTCTCAGTTTCTTCCCCTGTGTCATGGCCTGGAAATTGTCCCAAGGCAGTGAGCTCAGGTATGTGTTAGGCTAACTTCTTGTGTTTTCAGGGATCATTGTCCTTCATTGCCTGAATTCCTTTTTCTTGAAAATGATTTTAACGTGTATTTTACCTGTTTTTGTTTGGCTTTTTTCAGGTAGGAAGATAAATCAGTACCTGTTACTCCGTCTTGGCCAGAAGCAGATTGCAGTAGAGCTTTGGCACATTAATCCTCTCCCTCCTCCTTTGCTCACGTGCTTCCCGCTCCTCCTTCATTTCTCAGCATAGTTCCTCAGGGAAATCTTCCCTTCTTACCATAGATCAAGTTATGTTCTGTGATCATAGAACTCTTTTATTATAGGAACTATCTGAATTTCTAATTGTGTTCTCCTTCACTAGACTTTAAGCTGAATAAAAGCCAGAGATCTGTAGAGCTTAGTGTAATATCTTTTGCTTTTTAAAAAATTTTATTTATTTAAGAGACAGAGTGCATAAGCGTGGGGAGGGGCAGGGATGGGGGGAGAAGCAGACTCCCCACTGAGTAGGGAGCCCAATGTAGAGCTTGATCCCAGGACCCTGAGATCATGACCTGAGCTGAAGGCAGATGCTTAACCAACTGAGACACCCAGGCATCCCAATAATATATTTTATATTGAAATCATTCAATATATATTTGTTTAATGTATGAATGAGTGAATGTGAAAGCATACAGTCCTTTATATGCCAAAAGTACTCATATATTTTATTTCTTTTTTTATATTTAATTAATTTATTTGAGAACGAGCATGACTGGGGGTATGGGAAAGAACAGAGGGTGGGGGGAGGAAGAGTGGAAAGAATCTCAAGCAGACTCCATGCTGAGTGGAGCCCAGTGCAGGGCTCGATCCAACGACTCTGGGATTATGTATGACCTGAGCTGAAACCAAGAGTCAGATGCTTAACCAGCTGAGCCACCCCAGTGCCCTATATATTTTATTTGTTTTTGTGTTTTCTCTGATGTAGATTCTGTCAGTTTATTGAAAATCCAGAATGCGGTTCTTTCATATAGAAGATTAATAGAACTTAAAAAATATCACTGTGGACAACTTAAAAGAAAAAATAAAAAAATGGAAAATAAGGCTAAGGGACTACAAAAGGAGCTATCAGAAAAAAAAGAAATGATATCGAAGTTGGAGCTTCAAAAAGTAGAATGGGAGCAAGAACTCTGCAGTTTGAGGTATGATATCTTGGTTTTAAGGAAATACTTGAACTATTTACCTTTTTTTTTTTTTTTTAAATAGGCTCCACACCCAGTATATGTGGGGCTCGAATTCAAGAGTGAGATCAAGAGTCGCATGCTCTACCAGTTGAGCCAGCCAGGCACCCCTTGAATTATTTACTTTTCTCTACAGATGCGTAGAAGTTTTGAAATTGCTAACTTACCTTCTGAGATTTTATAGGGAAGAAAACGTCTTTAGTATTGTGAAGTATGAGATTCTTCATAATAATACAGCAAGTTCTTAACAGTGAATACTTTTAATAATTTAATGAATATTCCAAATCATAATTTTAATGACCATATAGAAATCCACCATGTGGAAACCTCATTATTTAACAAATTGAATTTTGGATTTTCCCCCCCATTTTCTATACTTTAATAAACGCTTTAAGGAATGTCTTTTATATAAATCTGTTTCTACATTTCTGGTTACTTGGAATAAATTCTTCAATGTAGTGTTGTTTACTTAAAGTATAAAAATTTTAAAGAAGGTCTTTGATCCTATTTTTAAATTGTTCTGAAGGAATTTTATATTAATTTATATGCCCATCAACAGTATAAAATGGCCATTTTTCTCAAGACAAAAATTTTTAAAAACTAGTTTTAAACATACACAGTGATTAAAAGGTAAAGTAGAAAATGATTACAGCTAAATTTTTTCAGCATCTCTCTTTTATGTTGATGAAATTAATTCAAAATATGCTGCAAGCACATATTACTCTTTATTATTTACTTAATATAGATCCTGTGTTGTTATAAAAGGGGTTTTCAAATGATTTATTAAATGGATAGTAGGGGAAACAAATAATACATTATATGTTAATTAAAAAAAAGAAAACGGATCAGGGGCACCTGGATGGCTCAGTTGGTTAAGTATCTGCCTTTGGTTCATGTCATGATCCCAGGGTGCTGGAACTGAGTCCCCCATTGGGCTTCTTGCTCAGTGGGGAGCCTGCTTTTCCCTCTCCCTCTGACTGCTACTCCACCTTTT